TTTAGCAGAAGGGATGTGACATGCAAGATAACCTAAACATATACTCAGTGCCGTCCTCAAAGCATGTCCAAGCACATCCAAACTTGCTCCTCAAACTGGTTTCAGGCTAAACTTGTTCTATCCTCTAGACTTTGATGTAGTGCACACTTAATTTAAACATTTTTTATATATATATTTATTTATTCGCTGTGCATACACAGATCTTTCTCCCTTTTCCCTGCAGAAACATATTAGACATTACAAAAATAATTTGTGGTATAAAAGAATTCTCACACAATGTAGAATTTTTGTTTGTATATGTAACTAAAATATATTTTTTTTCCAAAAGTAAAAAAGTCAAAATGTCCTTATTTTCCTCTATTATATAGTCTATTTTATTTACAATGTTACCAAACAATATTCTGTATGTAAAAGTGATAATAGTTTGCGGGACACTTCCTCCCTAGCAACTTCTCAAGCGGAGTGTGGCTTGAAGAGGACTGCAACAACAGCACTGTCACAACATTATCAACCAGCACCTTCCTCAGCAATATGAGTTTCTTCCATACTAAGTGAAACCAGATCTTTCCCCTGCAAAACAAGGTAACTGACAGTCTGCCTAGAAAGTAGCACAAAAGGAATAAAACGTGTGTTCTCCCATTTCTGTGCTCCGATATTAAGAGAGATCAGGATTCCTAATGGCGAGGCCTGACCCACCCAACCTGGAAATACCCCCCAGCAACGCTGCACTGAGTGGACCTCAGGCTTCTGCTGCTTCTACTGAAACCAACAACTTCAGGTGGGAACAGCAGCGAGTCACGAAACCCAAGTAAAATTCACTGGATTTACCAGGGGGCACTCACGGACTTTCTCTTCGAAACAAAACATACACAAAGATCTCAGCATTTCCATAGGTGTAACTTTATCTAGCATGGTATATTCTGTAAGAGAATTTCAGCTGAAGAACGAGGCAGAATAAAAAGTGGGTTTCTTTTGCTTAAATAGAGAAAACTTTATGATCAGGACTAGCTATAATCCTTAATCATAAAGAATGAGCCTGGTACTACTTAACTGACGGTTAGACTGGTTTACAGCCATCTCTTATAACATGGATGTATATTTTAACATAAGCCACACGCAATTTCCAGCCTTGCTGTACTAATGCAATTTCATTAGCAAGTCAGCACATTATCACCTCAAAAAAAGCAATTTTGGTTCCTGCGGTATTTCCAGTATCAAAATGTGAACTCAAACTTTCTCCACCTAGGAAACCAGCCCAGCCAGTGCAATAAATTCATAAAGGGAGTTACACCAGAGAGATGGGGAATCCTGACTCCTAAAGTCAAGGAGAATTTTTACCCAGGATATTCAAGGTTTATATTCACCTAAGAACTGCCATACAAGAAAGGAAGGCCAACAATAAAATTCTGCAGCAAAGTTTTTGAAGAGCTACTTCCTCTGAGTCTGAATGGGAAGTGAAATTTAGTGCTTGGGAAGTAACGTAAGAGGTGGTGTACCCACCATATTCAAGGGAGTGTTAAGAGGAAAAGAGCCGCAATTGCTTATTACAGCTACGCCTATGGATGTGCCCCATTGCTGACTTGGAAAAAGCCTCTGCAGTGCTGAACAGAACCAAAATCATGTTGTCAATGAGAGTTCAAATGCTAGATTAGTGGTGAGGAAACTACTTACTTGACAGCTCAAGTGTTGAAAGACCAATAAGTTAGTCAGAGCTTGTCTTCATTAATAAAATAAATACCAGTTTAAAAGAACTGGTTTTCACTAAACTGGCACAAATTTGTAAATAACCAAAATTTCAGGATTTCCTTCTCTGCTGCGATAGCAAGACACACATAGCTACATACCTTTAAAATTTGTAACTGAGCACACACGCAATTTGGAAATTCTTTTTAAAATCAGTTTCTGAATCCTGTTGACAAGATGATCTATAAGGAACCATTACACCAGGGAAGATGTAATACTTCACAATCAACATTTGCTTAAAGTTTGTATGGTCGTGCAGTTCCCTCAGTAAGATAAGCTACAGGTGAGAATTTTTGTTTATGCTTTCTCAAAAGAGAAGATTTCAGAGACTGCCTAATAGGCTTTTAAAATCATATGGCACTTTCAATAAATACTTTAAAGCTTCTTAAAGAAATCAGGATAAAAAAGCAACTGCTGTAATAAGCCTGTTTTAGCCATAATACATAATGCTGAAGGAAAAAATCCAGAACAGCAAACAGATATTAACAGTTAAAAGACAGTACAGCTTTTTTCTTTCTGCAGCAATATGAACTGGCTCCCGTTCCCAGGGAAATGGGAGCAAGCCCACCTCGAAACAAGTATTCACTCAATCCCAACTGCTCTACACTCCACCCCAACCCTTACATCACTTCACTTCTAAAACATAGTCACATTTTTATATAAACCTCAGTGCAGAAATGTATTAAACACGAAAAACACTGATCCTGCAAACCTTTACAACCATGCTTGACATTAAGTGAGTGCCTAATGTCATGACACCAGAAGAGCGACCTACACACTTAATGCAAAGCATAGGTATGTTGCAGCATCAGGCCCAAAGATGCCAACCACCATCGGAAACATCGGCTGGGTCAAAATGGTATCGTTCTGTCTGGTTTTGTCAAGGTGTTCTCAATAGAAGCACATCAAGAAACAGAAACTTCCAAACCTACACACAGAAATACAGTTACATGTGTGTACATACTAATATGCAATATACATTCAGTAACTTGAAAGAATAGGTTAAGACTTTATTCAGATAGACAAATTAAGGCAATTATCTTAATGTCTCTTCAAGATAAAGGACCATGTCCTCATTTGTGACCTCTAGGTTTTAAAGCTATATTTTTCAAGAAATATATCTCAATTTTCTTTATATTTTCTCCAATTAGCGATTTTGCTTGCTTAATAAGTTATATCTGTGCAAGGGTGCACGCTGACAATTTGGCAGTGGCAAGAAGTCCAATTCATTTATATAATACAGACTTTTTACATTTTTGTTACAGGGTGACTGGTTTAGGACTGCATTTTGGCTTAACACAAAGAAAAATTTAGAAGTTCTGGCCATCCAACGGACATAACTTTGTCAGTCTAGCACGACGCAGAATTCATGTTATATTCAAAGTCAAAAAATAATAATTAAAAAAAAAGAAAAAAAAAGATGTACTGTCCTTTCACTAAAACAGACCAAAAATATAACAGAATGGAAACAGCCTTCACAAGTAAGAGTGAATAATGCCCGGGTACCTTATATAGGCAGTTATTCTACAACTGTATACAGTTATTTACAATGGTGCTTTATAAAACAAAAAAAAAAATGGTAGCACTTCCTAAAAGATTTTGGAACTTTTTTTCTTTTTTTTTCTTTTTTTAAAACTCCCTTGTCATAAAAGCCAACTTACATTAAAATATACTTACTACAAGACAACACAACTAACAAAATATATAATAAAACTCATACAAGTAGAAAATTCTGAGGTATTTCTGGTTTGAGGTGGTCTGTGGTCATGAAGTTTTTAATTTTTTTCAGTTTAAACCTCGGAAGCCACGTAACGTTTGTGTGTGTGTTTTGTGGTTTGTTTTTTTTTTTTTAGGGTTTTTTTTTTTAAACATTGCATGTTTTGCAAATTAAAAAAATATTTCAATGTTGAATCAGCAGCATTAGGAACATTCACTGACTAGAGCGAGTTTATGGCATAATAAGAGTAACGGTATTTTAGAATATGCACCACTTTAAGACAAAAGAGTTTCATCACAGAGTAAGGAGAAAGCAGCGCCAAAGAAACCAGTCGGAGAGATGCTGCGATAATCAGTGCTGTGCTGCCTCTGCATCCTGCAACTGGGCAGTTCATAGGCTTCTTGGGTGCTACAGGAGCCACCTGCCACCAGTTCAGGTATTTCCACCCCCCTCACAACCCCGAATTAAAAATAATAATAAAAAAAAAATATCGAGCCAGTTTTCACATTTTTCCTCTTTTCACCATCTGCACTGGTAAGCTTGGGCTGACAGATAATCAACCCCGAGGCCGAATTTCCCAAACTGACTCACACTTAAAGCAAGATGCAAAAATTTGCCCATCTTCCAGTATTTTACCGAAGTGCTTCTGAGAATGCACTTCTCCACTTCTTCCAGTTACACTGCTTAAAAGCATCCTTGCCATTACTATCTGGAGTCAAAAAATAAAAGGTAATCATAGTCCTGCTTTGTTCTTTTACCACCCAAGCCCGAGATAGTGGAGGAAGAAAGAACTAGCGCCTTGCTTACAACCACTGGCTCTTTAACTCAGCTTTCTCCATACGCTGCAGCCGTTAATACTCTGCCCAGAAATGTCCTTCCCCTCCTCTAATGGTTACCTGAGAAGTAGCTCCATAGCAAATGATGTTTCCCCAAATGCTGCCAAGTCCAACGTCACTCTCCCCACCCCTATTCTACGCTCCCCCCTTCAATTCTACCATCAAGAATTAACATTCTCCACCCAGTTACTTTTTTTTTCCATGTTACAATGACACCCGTTAGATCCGTAAAAGACACATCTGCTGTTTTTTGTTGAAGCTCACTTCCAAAAAAAAAGGAACTGAACCCAAAACCAAAACAAAATGGGGAAAAAAAAAATCATTTTGAGGAAGGTGTATTCTTTATATAACAGTCTTAAGTTTCCTCCATAGTTTGCAGCATTGCGTTTTCTAAGATGGTAGGTGGTTTTCCTTTATGTCACAGATGCTCCGCTCAGAAGACAGACCGATAAAGAGAAACCCAGAAAACTGAATAAAATAAAAACAACTGAAGTGAGTTTGTTGAGGTTCTGAGGTACCTGCACCTTTTCTGCATTCATTAGTCGGCACCTGAATGCTTGCTGAAATGTCCATTTTTTTTAATACAGTAGAGCAATGTGCTGGTAAAATTGATCCAATCCAAAAAAATAATAATAATAATAATAACAATAATAATAAAAAGTCAAGATAAAATAGCAGCTGCATTCATGTGTTTGTTGGATTTTTGTGTTTTTGTTTTTGTTTTTTTTCTGTGTGGGTTTTTTTTTAAACTTTTTTCTCTTTTTTTTAAATCCACTGAGTCTGGAAAGACAAAAGTGAACCAGGGCTTAGATACTAGACTCTTTGGGTGGCAAGTCCACGTTGGTGACGGACGTCACGATGGAGACGAGGCAGTCCGAGGTAGTGCCGTTTACAGATTTGCGGATCTGCGCAATGCGCTCCTCGACACAGCCCGCCGAGAGCCGAGCCTCCGCATCGTGGTCCCAGCACTCTTCGATGGTCACGCAGAGCTGCGCCAAGCCCTGTGGACAACAAGGGAAAGAAAGCACCTTCAGCAACAAAGTCTGCTCCAGGGACCGTCTTTGCGGTGGACGGGGAAGTCCACTTAACACAACCTAATGTTGTAAAGGTAAACTAAGAATATTTTCTCCACAGTATGCCAATTACCATGAGATTAACTTTAAAAATTACTTTAAATAGGTGTTTTGTGTTTTTTTTAAGCTTCTGCTTTCTAAGGCTACAGAGCTTGGTCACATCCAGCTTTTTTTCATATCCTCAAAAGTACTTTTTTCAATATCAAAATACATCCTGAGATTCAGCAGGTAAAGCTTTAAAAGACAAGCCATCAAGTATTAACGGTTCTCATGATAAAACCATGAGAGCTGGCAGCATCGTATCAGTTACTATGAAACCATTGCTTTGTTTGCAATCACTTCTGTAGATATCCCCAAAATATCCCCCAGTGAATTCAACACTGGTGGAAGAGCGCAGCTCTTATTTGAACCCTCATTTGAACTGGAACACTCATCTTTATCTACAACTCACAGCATTCCCGGACTTTTAGGCAATGAGTTAGTACAGCTGAGTCTAGCCAAAACTGTGGCAGTTTGGCCAGAACAGAGGCATTTAGCTTCTTACTGAAGCCCTGTGAGATTTCATCATCTGCTCAGTTTCCCAGTCTGAAAAAAATCACTTCTTTTATTAAAAACATGAGCCTGAAACGATCTACCTCTGGGAAATCCACGCTGCATTTTGCTTCATTGTCTGCTTGCCTTCACGTCCAATTAATTTTTCCTCAAAAAATTGTTCAAGTCTTGCATGCTATCTAGCTTGTGAGGAACACATCTCCGATGGTATGGATCATTTTCTTTTTCTTAATGAAAGGGACTTTATTTTCGATTCTTTCACCATAATAAAGGAGTCCTACTAAACCACCACATGCCCCACATTCAGCACTGGCTGACTTTAATCAGCTGGTTTACTCTCCAAATACAAGGGATAAATGGAAAGGGGAGCATGAAGGTGTTGAGCAACCCCTCATTCCCCGGTGCTGACTCTCTAGCACCAGGGAGCAGATCCGTGCACCGGGTTGGACTGGTTAGCTTCCCTCTGAAGCTAACGAGTGATGCAGAACCACATCCCTCGTTCCCAATACACAGGAAAACATTTTCCACCGTTAACCAGGAGGGACGTACGGGGTGTTTCAGCCAGTGATCCTTGAACACAGGGCGCATCTTCTTGTGAACCACCACTTCTTGCAGGTCCTCAAGGGATGGGTGCTGACCTATTTCTTCTTCGAAAGGCAGCATGTATTCATCCACTGGACCTAAGGTGCACATGGAGAACTGGGTTAGTACAGAAACAGCCTCTGCAGAGCCATGACCTGCCCATGCACAACCTGTGGCTCCAGAGCAACCTCAACCCACTGCAGCAAATAAAGCCTGAAGTTCACATGTCATTGCAGACAAATGTGATTTACATTCCTCCTGCACAATGGACTTTGCTGTCCCCGCTGCTTGTCTGGCCACGCATTTTCCACCTCGTTGAGTTATGAATCCAAACCCTCAGCCGGGCCTCCCGATCCCACCGCTCTCCTTGAGGAGGCTTGCTGGGTAGTCTGTGATTTATTTTCACAGAAAGAGCAAATCAGCTCATCCTCCTCCCATTTTAGCATAGCAATTCAACACACAATAACCTAGAGAAAGGTTTCAGCATAAGTATAATTTCATTTTAGGCGCTGACTAGCAAGGTCAACACATACAACACTTACAATTTCTTGCTTTGTGATCTGGCTTGTTCACAGGTTTGAGTCAGCCCTGACACGCTGGAGCCAGATGCACTTGTCCCAAGTACCAGCTCCTAAGTGCAAAATGATTTCTGAATGCTTTAGTTATACCAGTTATGGCTCTGAACTGCCCTGGGCCACAGGAATGAGACAACTGTTATGAGTATCAGTGCAGACGCTGGATGGTAGCAATAACTTCTGCTTATTGAAACATCATTTGGCCTTTGGCAATGCATAGATGCTCTCTCACTAACGGCAGCCCAGCTTAATTGATGGGCTTTCTCAGGGTGCTCCGCGGCATCACTTATGGTTTCTCGGTAGCAAAGAGTGATCTCTTTCAAGAGTGGAGATATTTCAAGAGGGCCTTTCCAGACTAAAATAAAAGAGCTGACCACTTTAGTTGGTCATGATCTGTGATATCAAGAACATGATGTTTAGGTAATCTAAAAAAAATAAAAATCACTAAAACAGCTTATGGTTATTCTTGTTGACATAATGCCAGTCACTAAACCAAACTGAGACACTCATTACAATGATGGCACAATATCACTCATGACCTTCCTTCCTTTTCCTCCAAGAGGAATCAAGGCTCTGAAGAGCTGCACTGGTGATCTCCAAGCCAAGTCATGCTCACCAACTATCCCACAACTGGAACCGAGTCAAAGCTGTGTTTCTGAAGTTACATTCATTGCCTTTCAGCTCCACACATCAGGACTAGGGCTACTGGTCACTGAAGCCAGCAGACATGATTTTTGCCCACAAAGATGGAGCGATCTGTTAAATAAGGTGATGCAATTTAGACAGCATCACTTCTGAGCTAAAAGTGCAAATGAGGTTCAGCATGACATCTCTCATCCCAAAGGAAGCCTTTCCTTGGATTTAACGGTGCTGTGTACAACACCTGGAGTATCTTGGCCAGCTGCTGCCCAACTGCTGAGAATAGTTGGAAGGAGATCACAAACATGACAGACAAAAATCCAAGTGGATATCTGGGAGGGGCTCAACAGAGAAGGGTTGTTCCTACATCTAACAAAGATCTGCAGAGTGATCTGGGTACCACTGTTTCACTTCACTGTGCTCCTACCTCCCTGCTTCTCCAGCATTTTATCTGTTTAGCTAGTAATTTTTTGAAGAAAACACCACCTCTTACCACACACCTATGCAGACAGCCTAATTATAATCAAGCTCCTCAGTGCTACTGCAATACTAACAAAAATGTTTGAAGTCCAGGTGAGGTACCATAAATTTATGAACTTGATAGTCAGTCCAGAGCACCCACATCTAGACAAGAGGAAAGAAGTTGGAGTAAGCAGCCTTGGAACTACTACAATGAAATGACTGCTTTCCTGACCAGGGGCAAGGTCCTGCAAATGGTGAGGGTATCATCAAAACGAGATGTGCTATTTGAAAATAAAAGATGCCCCATTTTGCAGCATCATTTTAGGATAAAATAAAATGAGAAGGAAGACACCAAGCAAGTTTATTCTTTGGGATCATTCAGGAGAAAATGACATCCTCCAAAGCTGTAGATGGAACAACAAACTCAGCCCACTGCTGAGAGAAGGCTTGATCAGCAAAAGTCACAAGATTAATACCTAACAACTTATGATAGCAGGGAAATGGGCTTGCTGACCCAAGAAGATCCTTCCAGTGTTCCTGCTGTTTCACTAAGGTGCTTCACTTCTGGGCTTTCCATTTGGGCTATGACACTGCCCTGCAGAAGCGAGGTGTGACAGCCAAGCCGGAGCTGACCATGGCTCTTCTCCGGAGCTCAAAGCCTGCCTTGGT